AGTTACATCGACCAGGCCGAGATGTACTTCAGGGAAGCTCAAGGGCTACGAAAGAGGCTGTTGGGTCATCATCTGGATACAGCTCGTTCGTGCGTACAGCTTAGCGATGTCTTAGTCCTTCAGGGACAATTTGATAAGGCTTTGGAGGAGCTCGTTGAGGCCTTAGTAATTCAAAACGATATTTTGGGCCCCGAACACAAGATCACGAAGAACACTATGAGCAAAAGGAGTGATGTGATGGAGAAACGAGGATCAAATCCTCGTTAATTGCATATTCTCAAAACCGAAACTCGAGGTAAAACTCTTGGGTCTTGATGAAAAGACTGAGGCATGTATACAAAACTTATGTCAACTGGTGTCGTTTTGTTACACTTCGTTAAACGTTTTGTTACACTTCAAAAGAAAATTACTCTAGTCATTGCTAAAAAACCTTTCAATGCTCATACTAAACCCATAGGGATTGAAAATTATTTGTTTCAAATTGAGAAGTTTATGGAGCACAATTCAGGAAGTAATCGTGCGAATAATCAAACATAGTTAACTCCGATTTGTACTAATTCCTAGGCGAGAGAAACTCAGCCATAAAATATTTAATGTCAGGACAGGCATCAACCTAAAGTTAATTTCATCCATTTTTTTTGTCTTCAAACTGAACCTGAGGAACCTACTCCCGACAGGTTTTCCTTGATTTTCATTGGTTAGAATATGTGTGAGATTTGAATTTCATTGGCTAGATAACAACTATTCAGATGGAGGTGGCTAGTGTTGAATTTAACCACCATAACTGGACATCGACACTAAAGATGAATAGTAGTTTTGGTATATGCTACAACAGTGAGATTATAAGGCAGAAGAAGATGATTTTTAAACTCTTTTATTCCTGCCACGATTACAATATTTTTGGCGCAAATTCCGCGGCCATTGCTCAGAGGTGAATAGCAACAATTGAAACTTTGCCACTTTTGATGATTTCATTACCCTCAGGAGCGCCATGAACCATAATTTCTAGGATCCTGGTAGCGCTAGCAACGACGCGTTTGCCCGATAAGCGTTCAAAGTCCTATCTATAAAAGCATAAACCATCTCGGTAAGTTTAATTTACTTTCCATACAATTTATTACGAATTCAACAAATGATATACTCATGCAGTAGTTAGGTTAAAATCAACGCCTGAAGAGACAACCATTTTCCGTTGTAGATGTGTAATATTTATAAGCCGCTTCAGCCAGCACGAACGAAGTGCGAACTGCTCCGTGCGAGAATTTTTGTTACTTTACAATCATTATTTCAATCATAACAAATGGTTGCAAATTGCAGGTCAACTGTCAGATGTGCGACAGAAATTGTTGTTTTAGGTGTCGTTGCAAATGCTCGACTATTTATTCTCTAATTTCGACAAAAACTATGTCTAAGAAATGAAAAAGATAATTTTAAAAGCTTAATCCATCTCCTGCAACAGTTCATAATTGTTGCTGTTGAACTTCGACTCCAAATTTTTACGAGCAAAATAGGCATTTATGCACCTATCCTGATCATTTCCATTTCCACTGAGTGGTCTTAAAAAGAAATAACCAGACTGTTAAATTACGTTATTGAATTCAAATAATGCACAAATACTTACGATTTGAAAGAAAGGCGGCATCTGGATGAGAATAGATGTCCACACATGGTTATGTAACCAACCCTTGTGTAAATTGTGATGATGGCGGCTTACTACCCGACACCTATTTACACCTTGTCAGAAAAAGGGCAGCTGATTAGTGAGAATATGAAAGGACCTCTTGTTGCAGCATATAAAGACTACCCCTGATGAAGGCACTAGACAGGAGTGTTGAAACGTTGGGTCTATGAAGTGTAACTTCTCGGTTACATTTATTAAATCTTTAAACCAGAGTAGCATCAAACCATGTCTGACTCCTAATTATGTGTAAAATTCAGCTGACATACATGTAATATTTTAAAACAATTTTTTTGGAACATTTTCAGTTTCAATTGGTAGTTCTAATGTTGCATAAAGAGAAATTCCCATCGCAAGGCTTAGACGTACACATGCTTCTCCTACAGTGAAATTAAGTAAACAAAAGTAGAATATGAAACTTGTTTGTGCAATTGAATAAGATTACATGAATTTAGTAACCTAAATATTGTTGCCTTTTTAATTGAGTATCTGTTGAGTCTTCTAATAATAGTATGCTGTATATCAGTCTAACATCCCTCCCCCCCACCCTTACATAAAGAAAAAATAATAGTTATAGAACTCACTGTTAACAATGTTAGCATAATGTCATTACAAGAACAAGGAAGAAGTATAGTATTTATCTAGGATTGGTTGTTTAGAAATGCAATTTAACTTTTTTCAATTGACACATTTTTATGTTATATGTATTTTGTTTATGCCTGTGTTTTAATTTGTTTTCTATCATACATGTCGACAGTTAGTATAGTTAATAATATGGTTTCTAGTGTAATTTGGTGTTCACAAGCACTAGTTAATGTTTCAAAGACAACCAATTTACATGAGTCATGTATTCGTGAATAATATACATGAAAAAAATTACGCCTGTCTCGTGGGCTGAAAATTAGTGCAGTTTTCATGTAACAGGGGTGTAAAGTTGCAACACAAGTGCAAAGTTGTCACCCTAAAAAGCCATACTTCGCATTGAGGACAGTTATCTTCACATTTGTAATTTTCTATGTATATTATTCCGCAAAAAAAAAATGATGATTACTTGAATTTATGTCAGTACGCACAACTTTTGAAATTGTGATCCTTGGTGCACTTGAAGTCAGCTTTCCTTAAGCTATCAGGCACCATTGACTAATGTACCTTGGAATTATGTTGTGAATGGTGTCTTTAGGTCAAAGCTATACAGTTATAGTAACTAGAAATTCCAGCAGATCCCATGACCAGTATCAAGAAAGTCAAAAGATGTTGAGAATTAAGCAATAGATTTAATTTTTCCAATGTGGTATCATCTGCATTAGGGCTTAAGGACAAGTCTCTGTAAGAATCAAACATCTTGGGAAATGAAAATTTTCAACCCCCCTTCAAATTTGGCATGCAGATAGGCGCTCAGGGGGGATGCACAAAAATGCCCTTTTTAAAGGTCGCAGCATTCTTGTTGCCATGTCGCTCGTAAACACTGAGAATCTGAGAGCAGAAATCGCAACTTGTCAGCGGCAGT